GTTGCTATAGTATAGAGAGGTGTTATAAGCTACTATTACGTATATACTACTAGCTTAATAGTAAGGAGCATATAAATTAGTATATAGATAGATATACTATTTATTAGCGTATTAAAGCACTAGAGTATCTACTATTTAGTAAGTTATTTTTACTTTCTATTTTATAGAAGCTCTCTATAGAGCTTATATTAGACCCTACTATAGATCTTCTAGTTACTAGATAGAATAGTAGTGAGAATATCTATTAAACGCTTTACTAAGAGTATCTACTAAATACTAGTATTCGTACGTAAAGGTTAGACTACTTTTACCCTAGTAGAAGCCTAATAGTCTAATACCTTCTGTACTTATTAGAGGACTTCTAAAAAGATAGTATTCGACTATAGCTCGATATTTATATTTTACTATTAGAATGAAATATACGTATAGCTAAGACTAAATTATAAGCCATTTTTAGCCTTCTATCTATAGATTAATAGTTAGACATAGAGATAGAATACCTCGCTAATATGCTATTAATAAAGCTATATTAATAAGAATCCTAATAGGAAGATCGATCTTTTATAAGTAGCCGAGAATAAGGCGACGAATATCGTGAATTAGCTAAATAAGTAATTCAACTACTATCTACTCTACGACTACTACTACAACTTCTAATAGTCTCTATAACTCTACTTGAACTATATATAATATTCTTAAAGGGATTATACGTATATTTAACTAGTAATAGCTTAGAATAGAAAGACAATAGATACCTATAAATGAATCTCTATATATAGCTATCTATACCTTCGATAAATCTTAATAATAAATAATCCTATCGATCTTTTAAACGAAACAAACGGTATACTGTTGAAAACAAATAGTCTTAGGGTACTATACGAATCGAGTTGCTTAATATACGAACCGATTCGAACTATTCTAAGCGCTATATTAACTCTAGATTTATAAAAGAGGCCTATAGAGCTTATAGTCCCTACTACGCTATACCTGCGAAAAAGGAGACATAAAGTTACTTAAAGTAATAGGAAAACCTACTTAATAGTCTCTTAGAAAGCCTAGGGGTATACTATCGCTTAAGAACAAAAACTAGGAAATTTGAAACTATCTAGAGCATCGCACCTATCCTTCTTAGAAGATGCTATAAAAATAGAGACTAAATGTCTTAATATGTATAGGAACGTATATATAGTAGAGATAATGTATTATAGATACGATTATCTAAATATCTATCTTTCTATAGATATAAGAACTAGATAGCCTAGTGTTTTAGTATCTAAACCTTCTATTATAGTTTTAAGTCCCTAATCCTCTACTTCTAACTAGACTAAGTTATCGCTAAAAGTATCTAAAACTAGATATAGTAAAGGATACCTAGATTATATAGTTAGAAGAAAGTTGACTCCTCTTAGTAAGATCTAAATATATATAATTAGTGTAATAACGAGTATAGTATAGATAAAACTATATGTCTAGATTTCTACTTTAGTATTAAATAAAGGTATGTTGCTACTATTATATTATAAGGGGCATCTTAAAGATAAACAAAAAGACTTCTATATACCGATTTAGAGTTCGGAGGCTTTAAATACGAGTTCCTATACTAGATTATTATATAGCGCTATGTAAGAATACCTAAACTCGTACTTTATTTAGACCTACGTACTTCTTATACTGTCTTAACTAGGCAGACGACGAGATATGCCGCTAGAATATTTAGTTTGCCTAAGCGTAGATCGTCTAGCTATCTAAGCTACAACTAGATCTAGACATACTATACTTCTACTCTATAAGACATAAGGTAGAGCTATAGCAAATGCTATATATATTCTACTAAAAAGTAGCCTACCTAGATAGGCAGTACTATTAAACAAGGCTCTTCGGCTATAGCATCTCGTAGTACTTGAATTTATTTAGTAGAATAATAAAAGTTAGTATATTAGTAGCTAGCTCTATTTTATATTAGAGTATAGTACTATCTTTTAATTAATATCGATACTATAAGTCCTAATAGCGATAGATACTAATAGGGGACGAATAGAAGCTAAAAGACCTAGGCCCTAGCGCAGATTGCCTATTAAGGCCTAGTGCCTTCCTAATCGGGAATATAACGCGAATATAGCGTACCTAGGTAAGATATCAGCTATGTTAGGTAGCGAGTACTACCTCGACTTAGTTAGCGATAACTAAGGATTACTAAATATTAACTAAGGTATTTAGAAGATACTCTAAGTAAGGCGAGTTTAACTATATTCTATTCCCTAGTTAGATATAGTATACTAGTAGTAGCTATCGACTTTAGTATTCTAATAAAGGCATTCTCTATAGAGTTCTACTAACCTCTAGAATCGTCTATTATCGACTAGGGATATCCTATATTAATAGAACCTTCTAGAATCTATTGCTTAGTATTTAGGTTAGTAATTAAGAAGCCCTAAGTAACTTATAATTCAAATAAGGATCTGAAAATCGGTTAGGATTCGTACCTAGAGAGAGAACTCTTATAGGTTCGATCGCCTTTAGAATAACTAGTTCTAGGGATCTAATTACGAGATAAAAACTAGGGATACCTAGTAGTACGCATAAGCTGCTACGAGTCTATAGAACGTTCTAGGCCCTTAGTAAGGCAACGAATGTCGATACCTACCTAGATAGGCATCTTAACTATTATCTACTCGACTACTACGACGACGACTTCCGACACTTCCTATAACTTCCGCTCGACTATATTCTATACCCTCGAATAAAAACGACTACAGATATCCCAAGTCGCTAGAATCTTCTAGCATCTATTACTTTATATTTAGATAACCGATTTATAGGTCTTTGCTAGTATAGACGCATTTCGAGAGGCAACTCTAATAGGTTCGATTACTTCTAGAATAATTAGTTCTAGAGATCCGGCTAGAAAGCAAGAACTGTAAATACCTAGTGTATACGTAAGCTATTTCTTCCGCGTACGGAGAATGTTCTAGGACCTTTCTAGCTAATATAATAAGGCGATAATCATCGCTAGTTGGCTAGATAGGCAATTAGACTACTATCTGCTCTATAACTACTGCTACGACTTTCGATACTCTCTATAACTTTAGTTCGACTATATATTATACCTTCGCATAGGTTATGCGCCTATACAACTCGTAATTACTTAGAGACTAAAGATAATAGATATCTATAGATATGTCCCTATCTATATCTATCTATATTTTCGATAAATCTTAATAGTAAACTACCCTATCGACTTATCTAGACAAAACGAACGATATGCCTTCGGTAGCGAACGTTAGTATTAAACGATACGAACGATTTGAACGATAGACGAACCTATTCGAACGATTCTAAACGGCTTACTAACTCCTAGGTTAGGAAGGTAACCTATAGCGCTCGTAGTCCCTATAGCGCTATGCCCTTAGGAGAGGGAGGCCTACAGTTAGCTAGAAGAACCTAAAAACGTAATTATAGACCTCTAGGACTCACTAGCAGCAAACTATCCTTTTAGGACCTACACTCCTTATAAATTACTAAAAAGCAGAGTCTAAAGATCTGAATATATATAAGAACGGATATATATTAGAGAGTACCTTTTATAGATACGATTATCTAGCTATCTACCTATCTCTAGGTATACATTTTAATAATCTTTATCTATAGGTACAAGCGCTAGATAGTACTACCTATAGATAATATATCTTTTAGCGACTTTCTCTAGTCTTAGACAGAATCTCTAGATACGAGAGCTCTCGAGTATCTATATATTATCTAAAATAATTCAACTGTTTTCTTCCCTCTTAGTTACGTTAATTGTATACTATATTAAATCGTAGCTTTAGTAAATCTCTTAGTATATAAGCGAGCCTCTTATTCTTAAGCGAATGTAGATCCGAGTCTACTCTATCTAATAAGTTAGTCAGATTATTTGCGTACTAATCTAGCGAATTAAAGAGTATAAGCGATCGGAGCGCCTATTATCTAAGTATTTTATTACGAAGATCAAACGCCGTCTTATAAAACAGTCTAACGGCTCGTTACTAGCTAAATGTTAGTTATTAGTCGTATAGCCTAGCATAGATAGTATATCTGGCTCTAGGTTGCTACTTAACCCTATAGGGTCGTTTTTGAAACTCAATCTATTTAATTAGTTGTTTAGATAACTACGTAGGCTATTCTTAGACTAATTCTAACCTTAGTATAAGAGAGACTGATTAGGACGAGGGCGTAGCTATTACTATATAGTTCGATAGCCGACCGCCGCTATATAGTAACGTCTTTATAAGACCTAGCTCTTAGGTTAGCTCTTAGGTAATTACCTCTTTACTAGCGCTATGTTCTTCGCCTTATAGTACACAATCGCTATAATAGGCGTATACCGGGTGCTATTAATTAAGTTAGTAGAGCTAGTAGCCTCTATAGTCTATATCGAGCTAGTAGAGTTAGCAACATGTTTGAACTATACTAGGGTAAGAGCTATAGACGCCCTTTATTGCTAGTAGGAAGAGGTAGTAGAAAGGGCTATTCGGAGCTAGATTTATAAAGAAATAGAACTAGGTAGTAAATAGTTAAACAATAGTATTAATAAGGGTAGGTTAAAAGCTATTCTTAAAGATTTTAAGTAGACGTAGAAGGATTGCAATAGTAGATTCTAGGTCTAGTATACCTATATAGAATAGAATACGACTGCCTGCCTTACTATGCTATAATTAGTAAAGTGCTTCTATCGGCACTTCTTCGAAGAGATACCCTCGAGACTAAACCGAGCCCTAGCTACCCGCCCGAGCCCTAGCATAACCCGGTACTAGCACTATTATAGAATCGCCTCTATATTAAATTACGTACTCTTTCCGCCTAATATAGGCTGTTTCTATTCCTAGTTAGTATTGTTAATAGGCGCGTAGCGTATTACCTAGGAAGTCGCGCCTCGAATTCTACCGTAGACCCAAAGTTCGCATTTCTTCCCCCTTTTGTAGTAGATTGCCTAGTAACTACCGAAAATAGCTAAATCTCTATCCTACGACGAGTTTCTCGATAAAGTTATCGCCGGCGGCGGTAACGGCGCGGCGGCGGCGGCGGCGGCGGCGGTAGTAGTAGTTAAGTCGTAGGAAGAGGTAGAAATAGCGGTAGAAGGCGCGCTCTCGGCGGTAGTTATTAAGTCGTAGGAAGAGGTAGAAATAGCGGTAGAAGGCGCGCTCTCGGCGGTAGTTATTAAGTCGTAGGAAACACGTATTCGAGGTCGCAGTCGCTTACTAAACGTACCTCGAGAACGTATATCGCTTCCTAACTATCGATTAGTGTTACTACGCCCTTAGAAGTACCTATTCTTACTAAAGGAGCGCTCTCGTAGTCTAATACCGCGCGAGTCGCAGTTTCCGTCTTATCGAGCCCTCGAGTCGTACGTCTATACCTTCGGAAAGGCGACTAGATACGAGTTCAAGCAGTATAAGCCGTAGAAGAACAAGAATAGTATTAAATATCGCTACCGCTAGGTATATAGTTACTTCGGCTTACTAGATAAGCGTACCTAGAAGGAAGTAATAAAGCGGAAGTCAACCTCGAAGAAGATAGGTTATAAATTCTACTTCTACGCTATTGCTATCGACCCGAGCTAGCCTAAAGGTTAATAGGTTATCCGGCATTCTACTAAAGAAGATTACTGCTTCTATAACTATAAGAAGGACGATATCGTCGCTCTTACTACGTATAGGCGCCGCTCGAGATCCGCGGAGTTCCTTAAACAACTAGAGCGCTTATAGCAGTCTCGTATACTAACCTCGAAGATTATAGCCTACTTCCGCGGCTATAGTATTATTCTTAAGCCGAAGGACGTACGGAATGTCGTATAGGCTCGCAATATAGACGCTCGATAATAGATAAACTAGGCTTAGCGGATAGTTAGGTTATTAGACGAGAATAGCATATTCTACGACATTTACGAGAACCCCGAGAACGGTGCTATTCGAAGTATAGTTGCGCTCTACCCTAAGTCCCTCGAGGCCTTTAAGAATACGCTATATACCCTTATTATTAACACGACGTATTCAACTAATATCTATAACCTCGAGCTTCTAGATATTGTCGCTGCTAGACCGATAAATAACACTATTAAGCTCGGCGTTAGACTCATTCGACCGAAGCCTAATTAAGCCGATTTTACTACTTTGTTATAGTTACTGCGGAAGGGTCTTAAACAGGCTAGTTGTCCGCTACCTCTCGTTATTGCTACTAATCGAGAAGTCGCCTTAATGCTAGCGATTAAGGAGGTCTATCTAGGCTTATTAAATATCGTCTGCGACTAGCATCTATAGCAAGATATATTAACTCGTGTCCGCAAGGAGCGTAGCGAATTTGGTTAGGTAAAGGGCACCGACGGCTCTTAGACTAACAGTCCTCAAACTAGCAAGTTTCTACGGTTGTTCGCTTATACTATCTATAGTTAAACTAAAGCCGAGTTTAACGAGAACGCTCGGAAACTAGACAACGTCTATCCTATATTTAAGGCCTATCTTAACAACAACTAGTAGTGCTATAAGACTTATATTATCGACTACTAGACTAACGAAGTTCTATACTTTAGCTACAAAACAACCTCGCGAGTTGAAGCTACGTATAGACGTATCAAAGTCTAGCTTAACTATAGTAGCCGCTACGATATCTTTACCTTATTTAAGAGCCTTCTTAACTAGTAGAATGAAGGGTATAATCGCCGTCGTATCCGCCTTGCTAAGAACCTAAAGAGGTATAATAAAGCACTTACTAGACTATTTTAGGCGAGCGTTTCTCGAGTTGTAAGCGATTACTGCCTTCTCGAGGTTAAGGATCTATACTAACGTACTAACGACCTTCTACGGACTACAACTAACGACAACGGCAACGAGATTAAGCACTCGGCGTACTCGTACCCCTACTTACAATGCCGCTGTAACGACTACCTTCGTAAGACGTATAGTTATCCTTATAAACACGATATTATAAAGCTTCTCGAAACAGGTAGAAGCCGCGCTATACTATTACCGAGCTACTTCTATAAGCACTAGTTAATTAACTTCCGTAGAACGTACAATCTACGAGAACCGGAAGTAATCTGTAGCAACCGCAAACCTCTTACTAGCGGAGCGACATTATATACTATAAAGCGTGTAGTAACGGCTCGAGAATTGGACGACTTGAATAAGGTTATAGTAACTAAGAAGCGGAAGACTCTAGCGGCTAGAACAGTCGACTTTACCTTAGAACTAGGCGTGTCTCTTATACAACTTCGTACTACGGTTACTGACTATTATAAGTACGTAAAGAGCCAATGCCGCACTTAATAATACCCTTGCTAGAAGGCTAATCGACCGTATAGCTCCGCTTGCTATCTAGCCGGCTTTAAGTGTTATAATCTACGAGTTAAGCCTTTATTATTACTTCTAGTCGCTCCGGAGCTACCTTCTAAGCTAGATCTACTTCGCCGAGAGATTGAAGACCTACGAGTACGTAAGAATTAACGTCTATAGGCGGAAGAAGAGCGAGCGAGGCAACAAGCTAACAGTAGCCGCTAGCAGGCGGCATTATATAAGCAAAAACAACGATAGGCTGCTTAGCAACAACACTAGCACTAACAATAATAGTCGCTTGTGTAGCTGATAGGGCGGCTACTTTATTGCTAGGTGCTGTAGCAACAGCACTATCAGTTTACTTAGTAGTAGTATTATATACAGCAGCAGGCTAGTTAGCAACTAAGAGACTAATATAAGCTAGCATATATAGCTTCGCGTAGTTATAAGGCGGCAGGTCGCAATCCGCTTAGACCTAAGTAGATAGCTAATAACTAACAACACCTTAAATTTTGCTATACTACTAATTTGCTAACAAACTTTAGCTTCATAGCTGCTAGCAGCAGTATAGTAGTAGTTGCCCGGTCGGAGGGGCTGCAGCGACGCGATTATCCGCTTCTATACGCGATTTTATATAGAACAGCCGATCTCGTAATCTCGGGTTATGCTAGGGCTCGGGCGGGTAGCTAGGGCTCGGTTTAGTCTCGAGGAAGAGATACTAGCTAGGTTCTTTCGCGTATCTTAGCGTCGAGATTAGGCGTACGCTAAATCTATCGATACCGGCTATCCGCCGGATAGTAAAATAGCGACTCCCGTACGCCGAGCCCTCGTCGCAATCTTTATTTGCCTATACTACGCTAATACTACTAAACCGTTTAAAGAAACTCTTCCTTAACAAATAAATAATACATTCGATTATATACCGGCGAGAATGCACCCTCTTATAGTTAATAGAGGACAGGAGACGCAGTATTAGACAGAATTTTAGTAAAAGGTATTAGGTACTAGAGTCGCTATTTTACTATCTATACCTTGCCGGCTTGTCTAAAGCGTGTTATTATAGGCGAAGGGAACTTTAATATATAAGGAAATAAGCGTAAGAGATAGCCGAGGATGCCTTATTTAAAAGACTATAGCTATATAGAAATCGAGGTCTACCTAGACGATATAACCCTATAATAATCTAAGAAGCTCGACAATTAGAAGAAGATATATAGTAGCAAGCGAGCGGATTATAGAAGAAATAAGAGAGTAAAGCTAGCAATAGTCCGCTATTAATATTTAAAGAAACTAGCGTTAGTCTATATAGAATAAAGAACGCGAGAGTAGCAGCTAAGACTCTTTTTCTTTACTAGTCTATAGGGATGTAAGAACTACACAGTCGCTTTAACAATAGCTAGAAGTCTACTACTAAGTTTGGCTTTTAGTTTCCTAAGACACTATAAAGCCGCTTAGGTCTGCCTCCTTCTACTAGTAGTAAACGATATTAGAGACGAGAATTCGTAGCTTACTAACTATAGTTAATAACTAAGGAAAGGAACTAAAGAAGTACATTACCCCTTAGTATATAACTATCGAAACACTAATAGGCCAAATATTTATACTAGTAACTTACTCCGCTTCCCTTTACTATATCGCTATAGAATAGTAATACTACTAAGTATACCTATACTTTCTTAAAACAAACCTTATATACTATCTTTATATCTTATTAAAATACGCTAATTATCGCTAAAAATATTCGTAAGATATAGCTCTTACTCCGCTATACTATCCGGTTATATATCGCGTCTAGAAACTTAAAAGTATAAAGACGATAGAGTAATAGAATCGCTTTCTTACTCTATTAACTTTATCTTTACTTTGTTAGATATATATCGCTATTGTTAGATATATATCGGTTTTTCTAGATCGTTGTTGTATCTATAGAATTTATATAGCTACAATTTTAAGTTTATTCAATTTTTCCTATATGTATATATATATAGCTATACTAGTCCTAGCTCTCAACACACATTACTATAGCATCTAGTACTATCTTAAGAAGATAGCAGACAGTCTGATTTTAGTATATAGCTACTAAAAGTATCTAGTAAATTTGTTTAGTTGAAAAAAATAAAAATAGATTACTCTATTAGTATAGGGAGGAATGGCTAGTAATATTGGTTTGTGCTATAAGTAGACTATAAGTATCTAAAAATAGATTTATATTGCTGTTTTTAGAGAGTAGGCCCTGTAAATTTTAAAATTCTTTCTATAAAGACATGTTTTGTATCCTTATTGTTTGCTACTTACTACTAGCTTAACTATATAATCATCTATTTTTAGAGAATATAACTAGTTAATTGTGTTTGAGCATAATAGTCCTATTAATAACCCTAGTATAGTAGAGAATGCAACAGATTCTGTTTTGTGTTATACTAAAGCATTTCTTAGATATTTTAGTAGTCTGCTTACAAATCTAAGTTACTAACGCTTAGAATTAAGCGAATATAGGCTATACTCGACGAAACCTTAACGTTTTTTAAATTTGAATAACTTTAGACTTACTAAACCTAAGATTCTACGTATAGCCGTACTAGCCGCTATTTGTAGCTATAGTTTGCTAGCTAGTTGTTAATACCTAAAGCTAATACTTAGACCTAGATCCTAGATGCCTTACAAAGCAGTAGTAAATATACAAAGGCTATAGACAAGCTATTAGCTAATTAGTAGGGTGTGTTATACTTATATAATATATTAACAAACATCCCTTTTCTACTATATTTTATTAGTTATTCTATTAATAGAAAAACTTAATAAGAAAGCAATAAAGGCAATAAAGTCGATAGAGTTAATAAAGTCGGTTCTATCGACCTTATCGACGTTATACTTTTCTAGACGCGTATAGATATAATTAGTAGTCTATACTAAAACCTCTATCTAATAGGGTTAGGTCTATACTATTTTAGCCTCCTCCTATCTTATATATATTAAAGTTTTTTATTACTAGTCTACTCCTAACTAGGATAAGTAGCCTTACTCTATATATCTAAGGAGAAAAGCTAGTAGTATAAATACTCCTCTTTTGCTAAGTAGTATCCTCTATAGGGCTTAGTTCCTACTTGTATTACTTTATATAATATTAGTTACCCTAACCTGCTCCTCTTACTAGGTAGGTTTTAGCCTTCTCTCTCCTCGGCCCCCTCCTTACCTCCCCTCTCTTTATCCTAATACTATACTAGCATCTCTCCCTTTACTAGTAAGAACTAGTTAAGTACCCCTTCCTATATTAGCTACCTTACTATTACTAAGAGACCTTTCTCTATAGTAGTAAGAGCATTCTAGTTACTTGTTCCTACCTTTCTATATATCTCCTACCTACCCTTTCTTAAGGGGTAGAAGATAGCAATATATTTTAGTAACTAGGTTCTCTTAGGTCCCGTTCTGTTGTCCGAATATCGTATTATAGATTATGTTATTATAGCGCCGTACTTTCGTGTCTAGTGTCTACAATATATCGTATTAGACTCGGCGCTCTTATCGTACGATATATTAAGCCTGTTCTGTATCTATTATCTCGTGTTATAAGGCCGGTTATATAAGCCTCTACGGAGCCTAGCTTAGAGGCTAGAATATAGCGATTAAAGGCTTTTCGAGTATTGTTGCTATCTCTATAGTATAGTATATAGCTATAGACCTATCTAATCTCTTAATCGAAGATAATAGCCTTCTTAATAACGCTCTCTTCTAGCGCGAGTTAGCGCAATTCTAGGCTAACTCTATACCGTTTAACGCTTAGTAATAGCCTTCTAGTCTAGTAGGATTATCGTCTCCTATAGCAACTAATATATCGTTACCTCTCCCTCGAGTCGGCTCTCGAATAGGTACGCCGTAGGGTAAACCTATATCGCTAGGCGCGGCTTTACCTATATCGACTGTCTCGTTTAATAGCGTAGGTCGAAGAAGTAGTAGATTAGCGACTCCGGATCCGAATAGCAATACTCTCGTATAGACGGAACCGATAATAATAGCGCTTCTTAACTCGCTTATTTAGAGTTTAGCTAACTCGTAGAGGGACCTCGAGGGCGGCTTTAAGCTAGCGGCTATAACGCGTACGGTAGATAAGGTATTAAAGGTATCGCCTAAAGATCGGAAAGTAAAGGTTAGCAAAGAGAAGATAATAACTAAGAAGAACGCTTTATAGGCGGATTAGAAGGCGTAGAAGTCGATCTGCGAGATATCCGGATAGGAAGAAGATAAAGCGACTAGCCTTCTAATTACTACGCCTGCTACTATAGAAGCGTTCTATACTGCACCTGCTTACGCTAGGAAGTATAGCAAGTTTAGATATAAACCGCTATAGTATAGGAAGCAGTTAGAAGACCTATTTAAAGAGACTACTACTATAGGTAAGTACGTACGCGGCTTAGCTACTTTCGAAAGTCGTTAGGATATCGATCCGGCTATAGAAGGCGCGCTTAACTTATCGTTAAGAAAGCGTACTGCTATTAATCTAGCGCGTAAAGAGAAAGAAAAGAAGCGGAAGACCTTATAGGCGTAAATAAGCGAGTCTATAGACGGTATTATTAGTGTTCTTAATAAGACAAACGAGCTGTTAGCGGTATAGCCTACGGATATATAAGAGCGACTCGGATTGCTATTAGTAACGAAGGCCTTTATAGAACGATAGCCGAAGATGCGAGAGCGTAGAGCGGCGGCAAGGAAGTTAATTAACCGTAGCGAAGTGTGGTTATTCCTTAGTAGTACGAGAGATAAATAGATAGAGTAGATTAAAGAGATAATCGTAAAGATATTTAGACGAGATAATAACCTCGAGGAGGTTAAAGCTATAGCGGAGTAGTAGGATCGTAGAACAGAGGAGATTATAGTATAGAAACTACGTTAAACTCGCTTTAAATCCTCCTTTAAACTACCCTCTCGCTCTACCTAAGCTTCTAACTCCTCTTCGAGATTATACTAAAACGCTAAGAAATATAACGTATAGAATTTCGAGGTAAGCGACGGCAACGATTAATATACTCGAGAGAGCGACTAATCGGGTAGAAGGAGGATAATTAGAGACTTAGCCTAACAAAACTACTAATAAATCTATATATTCCTCCTCCGCCTACTCTATTACTCGCTCTCGTAGTTACTCTCGCCCTCGACCTCGATATACCTACGATATTTCAAGAATATATCTTCCGCTATATTGTCTCTAAACGTTTCTATCTTATTCTTCTAGCGATTAACGTCGTATCTATTAATACTCTCGCTACGCCCTTCGAAATAGTTTGTCCTATCTCTCTCCGGCGTAGGAGCCCTTAGCTATTAATCTAGACTACTACTCTTTGTAAGGAAGTTATAGAGTATAGTATAGACGTATACTAACTTAATCTATATATCAATCGAGAACTTAGGCGCCTACTAGAAGATTATAAACCGCCGCTTAAAGATACTAAACGTTCGCTTAATAATATTGCGAAGCGACGAGTATCGAAGGTTATATAACTCGTACTCGTTCTACGGCTTATCGAGAGCCTCGTATTACTTACGAAGGTAATAGCGTACGCTACGATATAGCACGAGTATTATATTAGTATACCTATAACCGGTATTAGCGAGATAATATTTCCCTTTAGGCGTACCGAAGCCGTATCTCTCTACCGTATCGTCGAATACTATACTATCGTACGTAGAGCCCTCCTGTCTAGGCAATACGAATATAAAGAGCCTATCGAAGTTGACGATAGCGAGTATATTCTAGTAGATTTAGCCCTTATAATCTCGATAGCGATGCTGTTCTTCTATACTAATAAAGGCCTTAATCTTCGTACTATTAAGAGCGCAGATATAGTCCTTAAAGAAGGGCTAATATTTAGGCCCTCTTGCCTTTATACCGCGCGAGTCCTCTACCCTCGTAGGCACTACTAATTTCCGGTATAGTAGCATTAACGCGTTTAGCACTTCGTAGATAATAGACGATATCTTCGAAGGTATATAATAGAAGTCTTTAGCGAGGTTACGATAAGGCCTGCCCTTCGCTACGAGATTAAGAAACATTAAGAACTTCTATATAGCGCTAATGCTATAGCCGTCTTTAATGCTAGGCTCGTAGGCTTAAACTATATTATATAGGTCTAGGAATTAAGAAGGCGTAAACTAGTAATATCGATATATTCGTACCTCGTCGCTATCTAGTAAGTCGTATAGAAGGTCCTTACCCTTCGTCTTATCTATATAAACCGTCTTTATACCGCTCGGTATTGCTTCTACGTACTGCTTTACTAGCAGCGATATTATTACTACGAGAAGTATTACATTCCGCCTCGCTATCTTCTACGCTCGAGATACGACGTTAACCGCCGCTATATCTACCTCCTTACTACGCCTTACCTCTTCGCGGTCTTGCGGCATACTAGCGCTCTTAATAGGGCTAAACAGAAGACAATATTATATATAGTAGGAAGGCCGTACGCTAGAGTGCGAGATCTAGTCGATATCGTACGCTATACTAGATAAAGGCATAGAAGCGAGGGTTTAATAAGTATCTACTCTGCCTAGTATAAGAGACGATATCTATAACGATTATAGAGCTACGATATAGACAAGAATAGAACAGTAGCGATATGTGGTGTTAAGAGCCTATATTATAATAAAGTAGGCTACGATATCCGGATAATAGAACGGGACCTTAGGCTAGCTATACTAGTATTCTAGGGTAATCCCTAGGACTCTCCTCTCTATAGGGCACTACCCTAGGCTAATATACTCTGTCCTAATTTGTATAACTTCTAAGGTAACTAGTCTTAGGTATTCTAAGTAGAGATAGATTCCTCTCTCCTAGTGCCCTATCTACTAGACTACTAGTCTACTCTAACCCTATTATAGGGCCTCTCTTCTTATCCTCTCCTTTTCCTATCTTTCTATCTAAGTATTTATACTCTACTATATCTTTCCTAAGTAGAGTAGGGCTACTCTTCCCTATATTCCTGCCTCTTAGCTAACTAACTTAGCAACCTATTCTTAGGTAGTAGCTCTTCTTTTTAGGTTCTGTCCCCTAGAGCCCCTAATCCTATTCTCTATTTCTCTATACTTTTTCCTTATATACTATTATATAGGGAGATTATCCCTCTTTACTACTAAGAGCCTTACTATATCTTAGGCTTAGAGTTTAAGGGAGTTAGGGGGGTAATTAGCTTTCTTCTAGAGGATAGCTTTAGGTATACTCTTATAGGCTCTTAGGATATATCTTAGCCTAGTGTTTTATACTTTCTTAGGGGGCTTCTAAAGGTGCTTCTAGTATCCCTAGATCCCTTCTAGTACTACCTAGGTTTAGTAACTATATATTAGGGCTAGTCTAACTATTATACTATATAGGTGCTGCTAGGCACACGGTTACAGTACGAAGGTATCGTAACGGTTATACGGTACAAAAGTTAATAGATTCTTTAAGGTGCCGCGAGGTAAGCTATCTATATAATAGTCCTACTATTAGTAGTAATAGCGACCGCAGCGGTCGATAGTAACCGCTGCCTACTATCGTATATGCAATAGTGTTATATCGTAACAGCCTCCCTCCCTATAAAAAAGGTCGGCACTGTCTATAGTGTCCTAAAACAAAGGTCCTTAGTAGGCCGCACCGTAGGAAGGTTTAAGGCAAAAGAGCGTAATAGCGTCGCACAAAGGCTAAGCCTAAACAGTATGCTAGAACGGTAATACTAGGTACAGAATCGTGTCTCTCTAGTAATAACTGCGTCGGTCTTATACTTGCTTGTTGCGATAGTTACGAAGGGCGTCGCGTAAGCTAGTCGGTATAGTCTAAACCGCCTTTAGCTACGGCTAAGGCGCGACGGTCTTTATAGTCTTGTTATCGGATAGCGAGGTATTAACTGCGTCCGCTATAGTAGCAGCGCGGTCTAACTAATCGATAGGGATATTAGGGAAGTCGGCACCTAGCAATAGTAGCGTATCGGCGTCGCATATAGCACCGTATAGCTTAAAGTAGTCGGTTATCTATACGTTAAGCTTTGCGATCTTATCCTTAGTAGCATTGCCTTATACGCCGCCGAGTAGCTTAAAAGCGTCCTCGTTAATTAGGTATAGTATAGGGATTGCCTATTACAACGCGACGCGTAAGAAATCGTAGTAAAGATAGGTTAGCGATAGCGTAAGCGACTCCTTTAAGACTATAGCGGAAAGACGACACTGCTAGGCTATCTAGCGCTTAGTTGCTTCGCAGATCTATACCTTAGCTAGTATCTGTTATAGCTAGTATACCTCGATTACTGCTAACTCGGACTAGCGCATATAGTAGAGAGCTTATAAATTAAGCGTACGTATACTAATTGCCGTCGCATTGTATTAGTATTGTCCGTAGGCGCCTATAGTGTTTTCCTATAGGGCGGGCAAAGGTAGCAAGCGTATCGGAAGCGATAGGAGCTTGTGCTATAGCTACGCAACCGTATTGTTAGGCGGTAGTAGCTAAGCCGTAACTAGAGCCTTCGTAGGCGTAGAGAATAGGTTAGACGGTAGCGGCATCTTCGACGGTAGGCGAGGCGCTAAGAACGGGCTAGCGGTCGGCTTCTAGCGAGTGTTTAACTTAGTCGATAGTAACGCGCGCGAGGAATTTAGCTAGATCGCCTTAGTTAGCGGGGCAACCGGCTTAGCCCGAGTCGCGAGCTCTAGAGGGATAATTTTACCGAAAAGGTGCGCGTTAGTAAGGTCGGTCTCGTCTAGCGAGTAGTCGGGTAACGGCACTAGGAATGCACCTATAGGATCCTAAGTATAGTCGATATTGTACTACTAGTAATTCTTATTCGTTACTATCTTATCGTACTTGAAAATAGTATTGCCCTATATAATACGCTCCTAGACGCCTAAAGGATCGAAGACTAGATCGGTAGAGGCCGTCTTCGGTAAATTATAGAACTGTAGCGTTAGCGTAGGCTCTAATCTATTAGGGATAGCGCCGTCCTTAAGCGTCTAGATATAGGCGATAAAGGTAGATAAGGCGTATACCGGATCGATCTAAGTTAGCTAGTAGACTAGGCTAAAGTCTACCGGGCATTAATAGTTAAGGAGTAGTAGAGGTATGCCTTTACCCTTGTTAGCAGCATAGGTACCGTTCTAGTAGCGACCGCTACTAGTAAGCTAAGTGTACTGTTCCGTACGCGACGCATTAGTAGCCTTAGTATCCGCAAGCGCCTTATTAGTATAGAGGGCAGATATATAGCCCTCGCCGCGAAGCGTGTATACGTTACAGACTGTAACATACCGCTAGGTGTAAGCGACGACGTCCTAGGTAATAGCTAGGCGACCTAGGTTGCGACGGTATAGGTAGGATAGGCTACTAGAGTTAAGGGAGGACTCGTACTACTTATAGAGCTATATAGCCGACTAGGTACTAAGCTCTATACCGATTAGTAGTAGCTAAACGGTGTAATCCTTAAGCTAGGAGTCTAGTAGAGGCAGGCGCACTATAGAGAGTCGTCCGATAGCTACTATCTATAAGAACTAGACTTCGCCGTAGGTAGTTAGGTCGATCTCGTAATACTTCGTCGCTCCGACGTATTCGCTAATAGGTCGCTTGCCTGTCTTCTAGTATTCCTTACCGTAGTCGCGGTAGGATATATCCTTACCGTTCTCGCTACGCTTATATAGGACCGGGTAACCGCCTACTATAATACTATCCTAATGTTCCTTCGAGACGAAGCGGTAGAACTACTCTTATACGAGGTCGACCGTCTATAGGAAGTATAGGATAGCGCGTACTATAAGACCGACGGCTCTATTGCAGATTAGAGATAGTGCTAGCTAGAATCGTAGGTCGCCGGTATAGGTGCTTAAGCTAAGGAAGTTCTCGCGTAAGCGGGTAATGTTTACTAGGAGTCGGTACTATAACTTCGCGTAGTAGAAAGTAATAGTTAGTAGAAAATTCGTATCGAGGTTAGCTAGGTTAGGAAGCTCCTTTAATTCGCCCGTAGTTGTAAGCGCTATATACTCGCTAAAGCGTATCGCATAAATCTCCTACTACGTATCGTAACCGTCCGAGTAGAGGTCGGTCCTAAAGATAGAGTATTTACGGGCGTAATCGTCGTTTACGATTTAGAAGGAGTACGGTTACGTAAAGAGTAGGCTTTCAAAATCGGTAACTAGCTTACCTATATACTAATGCAATTCGCGTAGAATCTAGAAGCGCCGATCGCCTGCGGTAAGGTACAGATAGTATAGGTAATACTAAAGCCTTACTAGATAGTGTTCGACGAGTCGCTTGTATAGGCGTAGGCGAAAGAGGTTAGGTAGTCGACCGTCTACGTCCTCGGCGTATGCGTTACGTACGAGTTTCGTAGCCTAGATAAAGCGTATATCTTTAGCCTTATTACGCTCTATAGGATTAGCGGCGATTAGTGTATCGACTTTCTTATTATAGTCCTCGTATTCTACGTACTACCGGATTGCCGCTTGTTCGGGTGTCTCGTTAGTACGAAGAAGACGCTTATTAATTAAAGTCTAGCGCGAGCGCTACCCTCGGAGCCGCCGTCGCTCGAACTTAAGTTCTTTAGGGGAAGAGTCTAGGTATTCTTCGTATACCGACTCGATCGGAGTAGTAAGCAGCTTAGGGGGAGCTAGTACGGGCGCTTATAGCGAGCCGTTACTCGGCGCCTACGTTAGGGAGGCTAGTACCTATAATAGCGGTAAATTAGGAAGGGTATACGCTAGTAAAGATAGCAATTTTAGCGAAGCCGGTCGGTTTGCGGGTG